TGTTTCATATTATACAATGAATAATTTACAATAAAACCGTATATTTAGTAAAATACTAATAATATAAACACGCTAGTACGTTTACGATGACATTTAAATATAATATATGATATATTATTATTATAATGATTTTAAAATTACATTGTACACTTTTTTCTTAATTCCGTGAAAACCGGTTTTAGTGTATAATAGTAAAACATAGCATATATACAAATAAGTTATATCATAACGGTACTGCCGATGAGTTAGTTTCCGCTAAAACTCGGCCTAAAAATCATTTGACATTTTATACGTGCGGATTGTACCTATCAACTCCCCGCCCATTTTCTGCGGTCTTCATTGATATAATGATATCTACGGCCAAAAGTTGAATTGTGACAACGGCAATTTTTAGGTGAGAAAGTCACGCGCGATTGATTTTAATGGAGATCACGAAGGTCGTTGGCAAGAGACTTTTTTCGAATATTTTGAAAATATTAATATTTTAAGTTTTCTATCTAATATTACGATTGGTACCTATGTGTATGCAACAGTGCAACGAGTAATACCCTCCTCGAATAATGATACAAATTATCATAATAATAAAATAATATACTTGTGAAGTCAGTTTAAGCGAATATCATGAGTGCCAAAAATGACGAAAATCGTTGAAATCGATCGCGTACGTCTAAGATAATTTATGGAACAAAAAAATATTACAATATACACAGCAGTTCAGTGGAGATATTTGTGCGCGTCGTATAATATACGATATGAATAGGTATACTGTAATAATAATAATAATAATAATAATAATAATAATATACACATCCGATCAATGCCACGCTTGACTCTTCTATTTTATTGTTATTATCGCACATCCATTTTCCACAAACTATTTAGCACGATATGAGATATCACCTACAAAAATGCCTAAACACAATTGTCACCTACATCACGGTTGTTACGCCGTTCAAACACAGCAGCAGCTAGGTGTAACATGAGTGTCTGATGTAACTGATATTACGCATATTATTCGAATCGAAGACTTTATGATGATTGCTYGAATTTCAAATCGGTCTTATAGATCTTTGAGATGCAATGAAGTTGTGTTTTTATTGTTATAGCATAATATAACGATATTGTATTATATTGTTAAATTTGGCCAGGGTCAACTATATATACTATGTATAATGAAATACGAAATCGAACGAAAGGTGTCGAGAGAAATGATTTTTTGTTTTTTTTTTTTGATTTTTTTGTTTTTTAATAGGACGTGCGTTTATTAAATTGTATTATATTATTATTTGAAAAACACATTTATAYAGTAATATTACACGAAACAACATATTAATATATATTATTATATGATATTATAAAAGCGATAAATTTAAATACAAATCGCAATAATCAATGAAATAAAATAATATTCACCTATAAAATATAAATATATAAATACATCATTATAATATATAATATATTACTTTTTTTTTTTTTTAAAATCGTTATTGATATTATACACTTTTTACACACATATTTTTACAGTATTATGACGATCGATATACGGAGTCGCGATTTTCACGTATACCTACCCGTCGTGTAACGTTCGTGACGCGTTTTCGCACGTCTCGTGAATTTCACTTTTCAAATTTAATTTTGTACGTATTATTAATTTAACGGTTGTCTTACCTATCGCGTGCTCGCCGTTAAGCRGCGCCGCGGCCGTTGCCGCCGTCGGTGTGAAGAACGACGGCCAAGACGACGACGCCGCCTAAACGGAACCGTTAAATTAATAATACGAATCTCAGGTGGTGAGGTGCGTGAAGGGGTACGGGGTGCCGTAGGGCTGGGCGGCCATGTGATAGTGGTACGGCACCATGTTCATGCTGGCCATCTTGTGCTCTTTTTTCCACTTCATCCGCCTGTTCTGGAACCATATCTTTATCTGTCGCTCGGTCAGGCACAGCGCGTGCGCGATCTCGATCCTCCGCCGCCTGGTCAGGTACCGGTTGAAGTGGAACTCTTTCTCCAGCTCCAGCGTTTGGTAACGGGTGTACGACGTGCGCTGCCGTTTTGTCTCGCCGTTGGCGTTCACCGTACCTGCAAACATCGAACAAAAAAACGCATGAGAACAAACACTTAATATATTGTGATGATGATGATGATGATTATGTCGATGATACGTAATTGGTAGCTATATGAGTTTGCTATGAGGTGACGGGTGTCTGGAAATTTTTCTTACATAGAATCTCTATACAGTAAAGGTGTACGATGCATAAACGACGTTAAGGGTATAATAGCTGCAGTCTTCCCTCCTCCCACTTCAAATTTTGAGTCCCTATGTACMAAATATTTTTGAGGGCTCTAACAAATCTTCCTATAAAATACAACCCGTTACAAACGAGACGTGTGTTCCATACCAAATATTCCAAATATGATACCTACAAATTCTAATCCAAATTTAAAATATTACAAATCAATTTCAACAGGCCCCAAAATAACAGGGTTCCATACTTCAGCTCCAACCCCTCCTCCGCCTGAGTATATTATTATGTTGTGATATCATTGATTATATAAAATATACTTCTACTTTTTACAACAACGTTCTGAATACATAATATAGAAATATGTTCAAAATCGTCTTATAATATTATTTAAGTATTCTTAACTCGCAAGTGCAGTTCGACGAAACAAGTTTATGGAAATATTAACTATAATATTATCTCTATACGTACTATTATGTTATAATTATTAAATATTATTAGAAAATTAAGTCAAGAGTTTTCATATTATATTATAATTTTAATTCTCATTTGGAGATTAAAAATTGTATTTAAACATTAGTTTTGAAATTAAATTTAGTTGTACTATCGTTGATTTCACGTTTTTTTTGTAGTTACAGTTTTTAGCTGTATTCGATAATCTTAAACATATTTATTGTTAGAATAAATCTAAAATTTACTGAATCTAATTATGAGGTCATAAGGTTATTTACATACAATTTCCTTAGATTTGAGTATTAGTTTCCACAAGTGGAAATGGAAATCTGACAGAATTTATATACGACGAAAACTGAAATGACGACAATTATTATTATGACGTGTTGTAGAAACATCTAAGATTTGGTATTAAGAAAATCTACTATATTATAAATATAAATATTATAGGAGTATATCGTGTATAAATATAATATATGTGGACATATTTTGATTTATGAGTGCGCAAATTGCAAGGTTCGTCCATTTACAAGCAGCTAAATATRGCATAATATTATACGATACGTACATAAAATAATAATAAGTATATTTATACATAATATATATTATGCTATATAAATATACCAAAGTCTAATATTCTGTAAAAAATTTTACTTGTGTACAACACAGAAGTTGTTACTGCATAATAATGTGTACGTATATAAATGTTCACTGCTCAGTATATAATTTGTGAACACCATCAAGTATAWAAACSGACTTACGCTTAGATATATACATTGAGTGAGCAAACAATACGACGTAATTGACTGTTCGTCACTGGTGCTCGGAACAGAACTCGCGCTTATATACTGTAACCTTTATTTATGCATATTTATATATGTATAAATATGTATATTATATATATTTAGTGAAAGACGTATATACAATATATATATAAAGGTTTACACACGCGTGTAAAGGAATCGCTGAAAAGCGCTCAGTGCAATGTAGTTGTTATAAATCTCTCATATAATTAGACAACCTGTTAAACGGTCTAACGAGCATTTTTTCAACACGTCTTGTGACAACGTAGTTATATATTATCATACGTATACCTAATGTGTATTATTATTATTATTGTAATATGTCAGAGGTGCAAGCGTTAATTGTTTGGAGAACGAACGAGCGCCACGAAGTCTGCTGACGTCTTTATTAGTTTATTACTACCATATTATATAATTTACCTGCACGTAATAATATTGTTAGGTATACTCAATTGTCTATATTAGTGTCATTGTTGTAAAAATAATGATTTGAACAACGGAGGAAAAATCGATGATCGAAACCACTGAAGCAGCAGTTACACGACGGAACATAAACACCGGATATCCGCTCGTTTCGTCACTGGCTCCCGTATTATTTATACGTATATGTATAAATAGTGTATACCAATATGTATCGTTTAAATTCAGCTGTTAATATCACTGCGTACAATCCGATTTACTGTCGTAAGTGTCACACTCGAAAAACGTTTAATCCCCCAGTCAGCGTCTAGACCGTGCAGTACCGCCGTGGCCGGAATTAGTGGTCGGGTGCGGAAGGTGTAGGGGGGGTCGCTTTCGAGTAGACATTCCGAGACAAATTTCGTGTACTTACACGACATGGGCATGTCTTTTTTGTTTTCCACGCATGTATTCTACTTGTCTGTGGTGACGTGTATATGACACGTGCATTCAGAAGTTGCCAAAAATACGAAATAAAAAATAGTCGAAAACGTGTGATAACATTGATAAAACACACACAGGAAAATCTGGCTTCTTCGGCAAATCGCTGACTTACACGTACGATGTTTCTAAAGTAACAAGCCACTGCGCACGCACTTGGGCGAATAAATGTGTTACAAGTGCTGAAGTATCCMCTCCTTGGATACTGTAGTTAATTTACAAAAATGTGTAATACTTTTCAGTCTTTGACAGTATCTTTAATACTTTATATTTCGATTATATTATGTTTTTGTGGGTTTTTAAGCTATATTTTGTGTCTACCCCACCCCATTATTCATTCCTATACAGCCACTATACGTCCAGGGACACGYAGATACAATATTTATCATACGTCGTCGTCTGAACGACTGAACTCGAAGTCTTCCGATGGTCGATTTGGGCACCAATTATTTCAGCGGTTCGAGGTTCTTGTTTATATTTTTCACGCGTCACGACGACGGGACTCGGTTGTCACCGCGGCAGACGACGCGTCTAAAACGGTGACAGATCCGACTGCGGTACGAGACATGTCGGTAATGACGTCGTCGTCATCGTCGCCATCGTCGAGTGGGCGCGTAGTAATTATTATTATTATACGATTTTTTTTTTTTTAAATTGTTATATATATATAATTATATATACATATTTGTTCAGGAAAACGTCAAAACCACCGACGAATTTTATCCCCGCGAACAGACATTTCGACGACTAGCGGTGACGATAGTAATAATAATCAGACAAATTAACCGTTGACGTGTATCGCTGGGTTCATGTTTTATTTTAGACTTTTCATATCCCATATTATTATCCATGAATATGTTATATATATATATTTCCATCCGCCGCAGAAATATRTATTATTATTTCAAGTTTCGTTGTACGGACAGCATAGATCGCTGATACTATTCGTCTCAATCGCAACAGAGACAAAAAATAACTGCAGGCCCTAAATAATTGTTCTATCATATTCATGCACACCACAACCACGTCGTCACAATGTCACATTATAAGCTATCATAATATTAAGCCATATTTTTTTTAAATCTCGATGATAAATATATCTATAAATAATAATAATTTATAATTAAGGATTTTAATACAGTATACAATATATCTATTGGACACTATTATACGTCATGAACTTTTTCGGTCTCAAAATTGTCAACGGTATGTAAAGACAAAAACGATTTTCTTTCTTTAATAGCGCATAGTTGTTGAAATTCAAAAAAATCTCATACCTAAATAATATATTATAGGTACGATACAGCTGCAGCTCAATGCTCAATATATAGGTAGGTATTTTAAAGTTTAAACTATATAGACGTGGACTTTCTCCATCAGAATTTTGCCGAGTGCAATTTTTGAAATTGATATTTTGAGTAGTTGTTGTATAATATATCATTGAGAACTGAATCTCCGCTGTCGGTTTCTGATTGCWGACATTATATGAAGTTACCGACAGTCTATTATTATGATCAGAAAAAAATTACGTTTTTCTCGATGAGGCCCAATAATGATTATTAAAACCGACATCATCTGTTTAAAATATCATAATTTTATAGTAAAATACAATAAAAATGATTAATTTTTGTTTGTTGGATTTTATTTTTTAATACCTACTATATTTAGYCTATAACGACGTGCTGACAAYAGCTCAATTACGATCGTTTTACAGCTGCAGACACTCACGGAGATTTATTTCGATTTCGTTTGCCAATTTATTTTCCAGTTTACATTTAGGTGGGTACCTATAATAATATATTATACAAATCAAACAGTGTTCCACGTGCTTTTGTATACATGATTTTAWTGTACACAAAGTAGGCATTATGTACTTTTACTTGACAGTGGTCATTTTCCATGTAATATAGTTATTATTTTCACCATCGAATAATAATGACGTTTATTTTATATTATATCGTTATTACGACRGTAAATTAAAAAACAAATATAGTATACATATACGATAGATATTATAATATAACATGTTATGGTTTATAGACCCATTTCGTAAGTTATTTTTCTAATACAATAACAAAGAATTAATAAAATAATATGAATACCTATGATACATTTTTCACAAATATGTATTTTTGGTAATAATTACAGTATATATACAGCTTAAAATTAAATAGACACTTGTATTTAAAATTGTCGAATCTATGTAACTGCAGACAACATTAAATGGTTTGCGCTGCGGCAACCGTCTGCAGCAAATGACATTTGAATACACATCAAATCTTGATTATTATATTTAAAATATCAAGAGGTTAATTTGGAATTTCAAAAGGTCGTTTTCTTACATATGCACACTGTTCAAGTATTTTAATAAGACCAATTTTAGCAAACGCTCATTCGTATAATTTAAATCGGCTGTAATTCTTTGAAAATAAAAAATGATTAATTTAAAGATCATTACTCATTAGTAAACACTGTCAAGTTAAATACTTTATTCGTTATTTTGATTATTCTGTTTTCTATAATATAGTATACCAAAGTTTTTTGGTGAAATTTATTTAAAATACTCATCAATCAAAAATTAAAATTATGATTGGGTATTATAGTCAGCGATAAATATTATTACCCATATTTAGAGTATTTTTTCTAGACCGTCAAGTTTAAGTATATAGACTAAATATTAATTAGCTTTACAAATATTGTCATATTTATGATATAGTATACTYGTGTATTTGATACTCAATAAGTATTTTATTTATTCCATAACATTAAATTAAATATTAGTAAATTAAATTTATAAAATAAGTTCAACACAATAATAATATTAGATTGTAATATTATTAAATATCACTGTAGATAATAGATATTCGAGTAYACTTATTTATAAACTCATTTACAAATTAAACACAAAAATTAACACGTATTAGAATTGATCGTTTTTGATAGTATTGCAAGTTAATGATGGGAGAGGGGAATAGTAATAATATGTAGTGCGAGCACGAGAATTTCGGCCATTTCTCCAGATGATGCGTATACCATATTCATTATATTATATTATTTTGTTTGAAAGGATCCCATCGAATGACTTGACGTTTTTGACCATGACCGTGCAACTTTGATCCCGACCAACCGTTTCGCCGCCGGCGACGCCATGAAGGATTKCGGCCAAATGTATTCAAGTGGTTAATATTATATACCAAGATATATGTTATGCGCGAAAAATGGACCGGCCCACGAGTGACATATATAATAGTGACTCGCGAATCGGTATCTAGACTGCAATATTAATTATTTTGTTTCGTTTGCGCTCGCTGGCGATATCGAACACATATTATATAGATACGACACACTGTAGGTACTATATATATTATTTGTGTATGTACAACATATATTGTGTTATTGGTACCTACGTGTGATGTGCGCCCCGCAGAAAAAGAAAACCGTGACCTGCGAAAAACTCCGGTTGCCGTCTCGTGGTTATTATATTTGTGTTGTAGCCCTCGGAAGAGGAACTGCAGTAAGAGTGGAGAGATGTGATGGGAAATGTGAGGGGGAGTGGGGAGGGCGGTAGGAAAAAGAAAACGTTCGAGAAGAACGCGTCGGCAACGGTGCAATAATGTTGTAGTATATCTATATATACATGTATTATGCTTTGCAACAGTATATATACGCGCGAGGTAAGTGAAAACGATTTGAGTGACGGGCCGACCCGCGAGCGTATATAAACCCGAGTGCGTGGCGCACACACGCGCGTTGAAAAGAGAGTCATGGACAGTTATAAATGGCCAGACGGCGGCGTTACGCGCATTCACCCCTTTGCCGTCCCTCMCCGTAAAAAAAAATAAACAGTCGAAATAACATCCGCGTGTGAGTTGGCTGGTTTCAAAATTGTGTTTATGGAAACCGCGAGTAGATATACATACACGGCGCTTAGCTATATTCGCAACGGTCCGCTATAGAGTGTAGCGAGCAGCGAGAGAAAATAAGGAAGTATGAGGAAAAAAACCCTTTACACAAGAAATGTTCACCTACGAGTATAGGTTAATATAATACTATATGGTCACGTGAACGTCACACGAAAACCGAGAGCGAGGGGCCGGGGAATGCAGCCTATATATACGAAATGTAATAAAGGTAGTTGTGATGGTAAACGCGCTTACATTTACGGCGGGAAATTTTTGAAACAAATTGGATCGGATGGAGAGCCAGAATTTTTTCTATATATATATTATACAATAACATTAGTATATATACATTTAAGAAAATACCTTTACCTACTATATTATATTATTATGACGTGCAGCCGTCTAGTTCTTTGGAGCTCGACGGCGGCGTAATTGAATGCGACGCTGCTGGCGCACTGCGCGGACGCGGTCCGAGAAACCGTGGTACAAATCGTTCGGGTAATATTGTACCGTGGTTGGGGTGGAAGGGTGGGCCGTCACGTTTCAAACGGCAAATTATATCGCGGTTATGACACATGCGGGAAAGACGCCGCCGCCGCCGCCACCACCACCACTACCGGTCAGACAGACGTCACGCGTGTATATATATGTTCATAGGCTAGGTGATGGAAAGGGGTGTATTGTAAGGGAGTGTTTTTATAATAGCTCCGGATCGCTTGCTCTCGAGAGTGCGATTGTGTGTGTTTGTGCTCGCGCTCAATGGTTCACCCTGTCGCAAAAAGTGGGGATGGTGTAGGTATATAAAACTAATTGCGCGGGAAGGAAGACAGGATGTTATAGCTTGTATAATATATAGTAAATGCACCTTCGCGGAAGTTTTCTTCCGAAACGTTCGAAAGTGAATCGTGATAATTTCTACTGCAATATAATAATATTATATTATAAAGTATATATGGACACGAACTCGAGTAAGTGTATATACCTATATACAGCATATCATAATAGTATATGTAATAAACAAATATATAAAATATCGTCGTTTG